CAGGAGTTCCTGTTTCAATTCATAAAGGAAGGAACGTGTGGCACCAGAACTTCTCACCTTTATGGTACTAGCCATGTCACGCAATGCCTTCCTGTAACGCCTGTCACTCTCCAGTTTAGCCAATCCTTTCTCTAACCACGGCATTGTACGCCGAGCAGTGAACCAGGTACAAACACAACACGTGACCCATAGCAAGCCACGCACGCACATCCAAGGATAGCCATACTTAGCACGTGACTCGTACCCATCATACATGAAGTTAACAGCCATGCTCAGTATCCATAGCAACAGTCCCGCACGACTGAGCTTTCGATATGGAGAGTTTAAATTACCAATTACTGCTGTTAAAATGTGCATGGAGGTTATGATATCGCCACAATTAGGTCGGCGATATTTTCTTGCTTTGCCATGGCCCACCTCTTCAAGAATCCTTGCCTCCATAAAGAACGTTTCCGGACATTTTGGACGCACTCGAACAACACGGTCCTTTTTGAAGCTGTTCCCCATGTCACGAGAGATGTGAAAATGCTACAAAAAAATGAGAAAAAAAATATTGAAAATGTTTTCTTTAAAAAATAGTGGTTCACATTTTTTAAAACCGTGACGTAAATAACGTATATTGTGAGTAGGGTAGCGATCATGTTTCATAATCGTGATACCTTGATCACAAACAAATCAGCAAACACGATAACTTAGCCAATCAAAGAAACCCAACTTGATCGATTTGACGTGGCTTTAGAATAATACAGTTAGTCTCAGACATTTATGAAATCGTTCCATACCGACCGGTCCGAGACCAGTGGGACTACCGGAGGAAAATGGAACCGTATTTTCCGATCAAACCGTGCCAACCAAGAGGAATGGCTCTTACCATTTTTTATTCCTTTCCCGAATTCCCTACATAAGGGAAATCTACTGAAGAGAAGTAGGGCAATGAACTGGTTTGTCAAAATGGAACGGCAAATTTCGGTCAGACCGGTCGGACCAGTTAAAGTGGACTATCTCCAGAGTGGTCCCGAATATTCGGTCAAATGGAACCGAAACGGACCTTTCCATTTGACTTCCGACCGATACTTCCCGAACTTTTGGCATAATGTAAGAACCCCTAATCTCTTTCTACATTACGACTCAAGCTGTTATGCAAACACATCAAGATGACTTAAAATCATCAGTAATGGGAAATTCTGTTAATAATCGACATCCTGTAAGTCACAGGAAATGTTTACATATGCGTGTATATGATGACTCGCGGCTGCGTGAAATACTTGTCTGAAACCAGACTGGTTCATAGACGCGGTTAAGAGGTCGCTCGCCCAAACGACAAGGTTTCTTTTGTAATTTAAAAAGTTTTCAAAACTTTTGAAACTTGTAGAAATGAGAAATAGAGTTACTTACCTTGATGGTTAGATTGTAAGAAACGCTATTGGCACTGACTCTTGCTCACAAGTTTTAAAGTGTTGGAAGGAAAGGCGAAGTCTACCTGTGTCGCCTGTTTCTTCGGTCATTACTGTACATACACTGCAGTTCGATAAATAGATGTAATTTCATTGCACAGGACAACAGCAAGCACCAATAAACTCTGCCGGGAAGTGTTAGACGAAGTCACCATCACTCTTCGCTTTCAGCTTTGATCAGTTGAAAGCATGTATAAACATGAGCGAATAAACTGTTAAACTTTAGCCCAAACAAACAAAGAAAGAGACACAAAACAATACACAATAACGCAATCAACTTCGCAAATTGCTATTTACCTTATTCAATGAGGGTTCTTTGTGAGGTTTAGTAAACTTGTGGATTTCACGGGGCGAAAATTCCGTCGTGGAAAATCAATGCTAAAATGCTCTCTACGAATGAGGCTACACTATTTAGACTGTTTCAAGTCTTCACTGAAATGTTTTCTATCCTACCTGTATAAAACATAAACAGTAACTAGCAGATTATACTTACAATACGTACCTTTGTTTTTAAAAAGCGGTATTTAAAGTCGACAGAAACAATAGCATTGCCCGGTTTTACACGCAACGTAAAGCAAACGATGAACTACAAGTTTCATACCTTTCATGAGCCGGATACAAATCAATTAAAACTATGCAAAGTAAGGACCTTGTCAATTATTAACCAGTAAGTAAAAACAAACTCTAAAACTTATTAAACTGCATGTTTAAAGTAATTAGATTGGAGCGCTTTCAATCCAGTTCTTAATTTTTAAATACCTTTTTTTTTTGCACCGTTGTCACGTTGCTTCTTTTGCCTATGTTGTTGTATACTGCAAAATAACTGTCGAACAAACGATTACATTACTATTGCCACTGCACCCAAATTGACTTGTTTTGTGTCTTTTTGTACCGCTTGCTGCGAACAGAGGGAAATCTTGTATCTGATAAGCCCGCGGCCTTACGCTTTTCACCAGTGATGTTGCTAAGTTACAAGAATGAGTAACAGATTTCACTGCAAGCTGATGTCACTAGTTTTCGCAAGGAGAAGCAATAGAAAGTTATCTCGTCCCCAGGACTTTTTTCAGGAAGATAAGAGGCTCTGGAAATGAGACTCGATCACCCAATAATACTCCTTCAGTTGATAAGATTTTCATATTTATTTGTCCAAGTACTGGATATCTGTTGATAGCTAGTCAACTGAAAACAGCACCATGATATGTGTTCACTGACTTGAAAAGAAACTTACGTGAACAGAAAAAAAATCCCCGGTTTGCACAGATTGTCACCTGGATTGTGACACGGAAACTAAAGCATTGATTGTCTCGCCCTAGTCGCTAACTCTGCCAGTGAGCTTTTGTTATAGGACAATTTCCTGACCTTCATTTGGCTGGAAAATTATTACTCATAGAGCTTCTGACAACGGAACCAGTCATGTTGAGGTTATTAGGTTCGATTTCCGCCGCTCACTCGAGGCCGGTCTACATTCCTTCTCTAGCCCGCGAGCAGGCTCACCTTCGAGTCACACGCGCGACCGGCGAAGAGCAAAGTGATCCTGTGGGGTGGAGTCTCGTCTCGCGGCTTCACCGCGCGATTGCGCGCTCGCGCTTTTGCTCCAACGCGAGCCTGCTCACAGGCTATTCCTTCCCGAAAAGTGAGTTCGGGAGGAGCGTGGGCTCCTTTCGCTAACAGCGGCTGGTAATCGAGCCTACGCTGCAGTGGGCGCGCACGAGGCGCGCACGAATCAGCGCGCTCTTGAGCCCTGCCTGCTTCGATCAGCGAGAGGGACATTTTACATGTAATGTTAAAAATTTAAATTTTAACTTACGAGGCAGGGTCCTGCGCCACCAAGCGCAAAGTCTACTTCAGAAATGAGCATTACAAATGTATTCTTCACAACGTTTATATTTACATCACCTTAATTATATTAATAATTAAAAGTCAATCGCTAAACAGGTTGGGCAGCTTGCTCTACCATTGTGTTACACCATTTTCCCTACGGAGAATAAAGCTTTGATTTCTGACAAACAAACCGTGAAGGTATTCCATCGTCAGTTCACATGATTTGCAGAGATGTGTAGTTGCGTAGCAACTCTACGAAATAAATTAACGTCCATTTTTAATTCGTGTCCTCCTATTGACGGTGAATTGCCAAATTACTCTTTCAAATAGCCGAGGACCTAGCGGGCCTAGCTGGAGAGTGTGAGAAAACTTCCATTTCCATACAACTCTCCGTACAAAATAATTTTTGCTAACCGAAAAACTTAGTGTGAGGGGCGGAGAAGTCAAAATAGTCACGTGCCGATAAATTGCACGTACAGGTGTTGGCAGCTCTTTCACGGATTGGTCTCTGACAGAGAGATTTAGCTACGAAGACGTCACGATTGTGTCACGTGTTGCCGACTGGACACTTTGCTGGCTTCTTGTTTGTGACTGACAATTTCGAAGCTTTCCTTTGCAGTCGAGTGACTGACTGAACTTTCCCGATTGAAAGAGTGCGATGAAAATTTAAATCTTGCTTTTTTGTAGCTTTCTCTTGGGCGACGCCCGGCAACCTTTATTTCCAATAACATTCCCATAACGAAAAACCAGTCTCTCATTGCGACGGATTTTTTCTAAGTTCTTTTTGGCGTAGATACTCTGGTTTTCTCTGTCGTTGTGGTTGACTCAACAGTGTCCGTCGGTGACTCAGTTTGATGCCATTCTACTTTCTGTTTGTGTTGTCGGACAGCTTCCTCTACTCTTTCATCCATCATTTCTTCTGTTAGGACGCCATCGGGCGAACCGTAAGCGCTGGCCTAAAGTAAGAAAAGCTAATTAGACAGCGTCCACAATACGCTGGAGAAATTTGAAAACGCAGCTTTAATTCTACGGTTTGGCCTACCGTCCACACTAATCCGTCACGAAAACGGAGCTTCCCGAAAACGCTCTTCGAACCAGAGGAATTTGAAAACGCCGGCTTTGCGTTTTAGTGTGGATGGAAAACATTTTGAAAACGGAGCTTTTCGAAAGCGATGGCGTCAGGACAGTGATTTCCCTGCCAAAATGACCGGTGATTGTTGTTTTCAAATTCCTCCGGCGTAGTGAGAACGGAAAACATTTGATGCGTTTTCAGAGTGAAACCTCCGCTTTGAAATTTCTCCGGCGTAGAGTGAACGGAAAACATTTGATGCGTTTTCAGAGTGAAACCTCCGTTTTCAAATTCCTCAGGCGTAGTGTGAACGGAAAACATTTGATGCGTTTTCAGAGTGAAAGCTCCGTTTTCAAATTCCTCAGGCGTAGTGTAAATGGGGCCTTAGTCTCTGGCACGCAATGAAACACTTGTCATGAAGGTCTGTTTAAAAACGTAAACAGTAGGCTTGGCTAATCATGGGTTTGACACAAGCTTGACCCACTACTTCAAAGGATAGATGATGATGAAAAAGCCAGTGAAAAACCAAGTAACTTGGTTCTAACGTTAGGTGCTGCAGGCAACGGGACAACGGTTTCTTTAATACAAAGATGGCGGTTAATTTGTGTCTAGAAGACCGGTCGATGACAACAAAACCTTAAAGTGAACGTATGGTACTGATTCAACTTTTTCACGCTTTGATACTTCCCGTTGGTTTTGTTACAGTTCTCATGTGCTGTTACCTGCCAAGCGATCGCTATTTTAGAGATTTCTCTTCCAGAAAGTCCTCTCGTTACTTCAGCAATTTGGTGACATTTCTTGCTGAAGTCGAAGTTTGCAATTTTCATCCGACTGAAAAAAAAGAGCACAATGGACACTGTCATAAATAACTTCTGGTAAATTTAATAAAAATTAAGTGCTTTAGCTGTTAACGCTGTCTCATTTTGCAATAATCTGAGAAGACTAACAATAAATTTACATTAACTTTGAAATTCTTTCCCCTTCGGAACAACTCCTTCAAACACCTCAGGCAAGACAGCCGGCTTTTCTGTTGTTTCGCGCAGCCGGCCAGTGGAATGTAACATACCATTAACTGAGTAATTTGGCAACTGTGCACTGTACTTTACCAAGAGCGAATCATCCTGTTTTATCTTCATTAGGTTCGATTTCCGCCGCTCTCTCGGGTCCAGTCGGGTCCGGTCGAGTCCAGTCGGGCCCTGTCGCGTTCGTCCCCGAGAGGGGTTAGTACGGGCTCATTTCTTTAAACAACAGCAGAAATCTTATTTACAGGAAAAAATAAATTGTCGCTGGAATCCGTTGTTTGTCTCACCTGGCGCGAGATCCAGTGGTAGCCGGCTTTAACACGTGCTCTTCAAAATATTGACGGACTAATCGGACCCGTTCCTCGAGGGATGGCAGACCAAACTCGATCATCTCGTCTAACCTGTCATTGATGGCCCAGTCAAACTGGTCAGGCTGGTTACTGGCGAGGACGAGCATAAACCTGCACACAAAGAAAGAAAAATGAACAAAAACAGAGGAAAAAAATTATGAAGAAACGATTCAATACCGTGCAGTTGGGGATTTGAGAATAGCAAAACAAACAAAAAAAATTTGCATTACAGAATTTTTCAATTTCTAGCTTAAAGTAAAAAGAAAACTTTCGGTTTTAACACCAAGTAATAAATCTCTTACTTGCGCGAAGATTCTCCAGTTCTGTAGAGGAAGGCATTGAGTGTACTTCGCAAGTCTTCGCTCATCTTTTCCTGAGTGGCCAACAAAATATCTTGTACTTAGTCAAGTTTACACTACACCCTCAGTAAAAGGTACACATTCTTCCTCGTTTAATTCGACATCATTATTTCCAAGGCCTACAGTCCACACTAATCGGCCATGAAAACGGAGCTTTTCGAAAACGCTCTTCAAACCGGAAGGAATTTGAAAATGCCAGGTTTTTGTTTCCGTGTGGACAGAGAACATTTGGAAAACGGAGCTATTATTTCGAAAGCGATGGCGTCACGAAAATCATGTGATTTCCCTGACCTGGTTTTCCTCAAACACAAATCCAAAATGAGCGGTGATCGTTGCGTTTTAAAATTTCCCCGGTGTAGTGTGGACGGAAAACATTTAATGCGTTTTCAGAGTGAAAACGCCGTTCTCAAATTTCCCTGGGGTAGTGTGGACGGGGTCTTGCTCTATTCAATCTTTTTTGTCGTTGCGTAAAACACTATTGACGCGCGCATGTAGCAACTCTGTGTTCTAAGGACAAAATGTCGCCCTTACCTGATTACGTTTCCGCAAAAAAGCGTCCGCTTCGTCAACAAAGAGCAAAAGTCTAGAGGACAGAGGCGAACGAAAAAATAAGGTATTTAACTCGCAAACACAGGACAACGCGAACAATTTTTTGCTCACCCTCTCCTTGAAGTCTGTGCCCAGTCAAATACTTTATGCATGGCCGTCACACCCTCCTTCCCCATAGGAACAATGTCACCTCCCGTCATGATGCCGTAATCCATCCCAGAATGCTTGGCGAGGCTCTGAAAAACAGAGAGTAGCTTTTAGAAACTTTTTCGATTCAAAACGTTTAAGTGTAGAGATAAAAGCTAGTGAAGTTGCTTCCAAGTGATCGTTGCAGCCCCTAATGACCACTTTATTGCGGGATAAGTCAAGAAAATTACAACACTAGACCGAGATTGAATATAACTGAATGTACGGCCCAGAAATATCGTCTTCGCTTACAAGAGAAAGAATCACTTTTACGAGACATTTCCTGGGATTAGGGAAAGAGTTAGGCGACTTATATCTATGAATTCCACAGACTGCCAGCGATCACCAACGAGCAAATCCTCTCACCTTTGCAAACATAGTCTTCCCAGTTCCTGGTGGGCCATAAAACAACAGATTTCTGTAGAGTCCTTTGTTTTTCTTTGTGTTGGCTGTTGCCTTGCTAACTTCTTGAAGCCTTGTTTCGAGGGAGGGCTGTAATGAAGTGATTAAGGCAACAAAAATTTACATTGAAGTATTTTTAATAGATTGGAATATCACAACTTATTACATGACTAAGTTAGTTCAGAGGGCCAGCAAGTAAAATCAACCAATCACACTGCTCAATTGCCGGCCCCTGGTCTTTTTTGTACGGACCTTACTATGTCCATTCTGTACTATCAAAACGTCGGGCCAACATTTTTCCAGTACAGTCCTTGCGCTTGGATAATAAGGCCCCGACCACACGACCAAACGCATACTTTTGGATACGTTTTCTTGTACTGTCCACACTAAACGCCCGAAAACGCTGATGAAAACAGAGACTTTTGACGGCGGTGTTTAAAGTGGAGCGTTTTGAAAACGCATCCTTTCTAGTATGCACAGGTGAAAACGGAGACCTTTGAAAATGGTGACGAAAAAATGCATCTAAAATGACGCGTTTTGACACAAAAACGCATTAGCGTGGACAGTTGAAAACAAATGGAAAACAAATATTTTGCTTCGTCATGTTTGAGACAAAAACGGATACTTTCAAAAATGCTGTAGTGTGACCGGGGCCTTAGATATCTAAAATGTTCTTTTCCAAAAAAGTGATCCAACTGTGTGGTGATCATGGGTGTGATCAGATTTTTTGAAATGAACATTTTTCACTTACCTTTAAAATAATTCCTTGTAATGAATCTTCATAGTTAACAAACATTTTTCTAACAGTCTGGAAAAAAAAGAAGAAACAAAGATTTGTCCAAGCACAAGAATGCTCAGTTTCCAGCAAAAAGAGGGAAGGAAAAACGAACTTTAATGTAACAGTGAATGAAAAATGAAAATAATACCTGGATTGGGTGCCTTACAGCACCAAAAACACTCAACCTTGATGTGTCTCGAACAAGACTTGGTTTCCCTAAGCGTGCTTCAATAAATCTACAATGTATAAGTAGGCATTAAAATTTAATGTTTAAGCAATTGATATTTTTTCTAAGCGCGATTATTACATCTAACCTCAGAATAAGAAAGGTGAGTGGAGGCTTAGACTTTCCTATCATTTCCGTGTTTGGAAATCCCACAAACCTCACAAGTTCTTCAAACAATTTCTCACTATAATTACAACCAACTGCAAGCCACACAAGACAAGCTTTTCTCAGAGAGAAGAGAAAGCAACGATGTAAACCTGACCTCGCGGTTACTCCAGTACCATATTTAGCTGTGTACACTCCCAAGGCAAGAAGAGTCAAACCAGCTGCCTGGAAGGTAAATCAATCACATAAGTACAATATTTAGAAAACAGAATGGCCAAATCAGGAGCTAATCTATTCTGATGTCACCAAATTTGAATATCGTGTTCCCAGGGAAAAGAAGGGCTTCCACATGAAAAGGTCCAGGGTGCTTGTCCTCTCATTTAGGGGTATAAATCAAGGATTCCGGTCTCACTCAGGGTGTTGATGACCAAACCCCACTATTTTAACTTTTAGGGTGCACTCGAAGAAATAATAAGAAAAGAGATGATCTTAATTCTGTTTTTAGGCTTGATTTCTGCTGGTCTTTTGAGTTCCAGTCTACTGGCACAGGCTCATTTCCTGAACAGTGGCTGGTAATCAAGCTTATCCCATTTTAAGTGGTATCTTTTAGGGGTCAAATAAAGATCGAGCCACGCTCAGATTGGTCTCCTTTGGGGGTTCAATTCAAATTTTCTGACTGGGATACAGGAGTCTCCCTCCCCCAGGATCTTGTTCTACATGTAACATAACACGTCAATACTCAATGTTCCCAGCATTTTTCTTTTCAGGGAGGGGGGGAGAGGTGAGTTTGAACAGGTGTAAATTCATCGCAGTTAATGAAATTCTCCAAAATAACAATTAGTCAGGAGTCCCTCCTGCAATCAGTATAATTATATAATAAAAAGGGATCCTTACTGTGGCTGATATTTTGTCCCAGTCTGAGATGAAAGCATCAAACCCTGCTCCAAGTATACTTCCAGCTGTCCTGGAGGAAAACACAAAGAACAAAAACAAAATTATATAAATACTTATCATATCACATTATATCAAAAGGGATTGCAGATAAATTAATATGATATTTAATCCAAGAACTCACTTGATTGACTGCAGCACAGTTTCTCTCTGCTCGGCAGCCTTAACTCTAATCTTTTCCAGTTTGATATCCTTGTTTTCACGTTCGATCTTGGCTCTAAAATTTAACATCAAGAGTATTAATTCTAATAATTAATTAATTTCGTAGACTAAAAAAAAAGTCTGCAAACATGCAGATATTTTGAGTTTCGTTGAATTTATGGGAAGAAGGGATGGTTGAACTTAAAAGTCACATTTGGACAGAATTAACTGGCTGTTAGAGATTTCAATATAGGTAAGCAATGTAGACTGGTGTATGGTGGGAACAAAAAATCCTCACGGGTGGATCTAGGACTTTCAAAGGGGGCAGGGGTGGCTGGTATCTTGAGGTTACAGAATCATTGGGGTATGCCAACAAAATGTCGGAACTGGAACTTACTGTGAAAACTGTTGCACCAGGAATACTGAACTAGCACTGCCCCGAGGTAGAGATTACAACAAGGTGCCTGTCCAGAGAGTTTGCCTTTATTTCTGTCATAATATTCACAATCTTTTTTATTTTTGTTTTAATTTTTTGCTTGTCCCAATCCATTCATCCCCCCCCCCCAAAATAAAAAAATCTGCCCCTGATCCTGGTCTTTGTAAGTGGCTAATACAGAGAGGTAGCTACTAATTAATACCTGATCAACCTCATCACTTACTTGCCACGAAGCTCTGCTTCCAGCCTCTTCATTTCATTTTGATGTTTTAAATCAGCCTCATACTCAATTGTACCTGAAGAGGTAATAAACAGGCATCTTTTCACTTGCTGATAAGGAAGTTAATTTAAATGTCAGTTCTTGCCTGTTACAACTGTTTTCATGTCAGTGTTAATTTAACTATCACAAGCAATAATTCAGTTAGTGTAATGTACTATATAACAAAAATAATAACGGGTACAACTTAATTATCTACTGAGTGTAGTTTTCAAGCTTTTTAGACAAATTCCTTGTTTGGAATGAAAATATAAAGGAACTTCAATCAAGGAAAACTGAAGGTCTTCTTAAAAAGCTTTGTTCCTTCCACGGACAAGTTAACATAAAAAGCCTAACTTGATCATCACAAAAATGTGAAAAAGGCCCACCAGTTGCCAGGCACCAATTTACTGCATTAGTTAATTCAAGCTCTGTTTTACTAAAATAATTTGGCATTTTGACTACTAACAATAAATACATGGCTTTAAACATGGCACACAAACAGAAAGCCACTGAGTACCTCTTTTCATAGCCTCTTGTTTCTTGACTGACTCTTCTTGTTTAGCCAAGTTGTCTTCATTCATACGTCGCTATGAAGGGAATAAATTTTACTTGTCAGCGACATTTAATATCCACCACTGTGGAGGCGCGGTGGCCTCATGGTTAGTGCATTCATCTCTGGACTGAGCAGACCAGCTTCAAGCCCTTGCAGGGGACATTGTGTTGTGTTCTTGGGCAAGACACTTGACTCTCACAGTGCCTCTCTCCACCCAGTTGTATCTATGGGTACCAGCAAACTCAATGTTTGGGTTAACCCTGCAATGGACTAGCATCCCATCCAGGGGGGAGTAGAAATACTCCTAGTCGCTTCATGCTACAGAAACCAGGATAAACTCTGGCCTGATGGGCCACTTAGCTCGAATGGAGGCTTTACCTTAGTTTACCTTTTTACTGACAGCTAATGTAACACACTACAGACTGATTTCAATGAAAGCAAAATGGCTCCAGAATAATAAAATGTTTTTTATCTTTTTACTTTTTTTTTTAAAATAATAATAATAAAATGTTGGCATTACCTGTTGCAAAAGCTGATCATCATAACGCTTCCTTGCTAACTGGTCTTGGTACTCAGCACGCTGATGAAGAATCAGAAAAAAAGTATCTTTTTAATGTGTAGTTTCTTAGTTTCTTCATTAATATCCTAGATTACTCCTGTTAGACAGAGATAATAAAAATATATCTTGGTTAAAGGTTTTTTTGGCCATCCATTTACTGGATAATTTGCAGTCAACGAGAAGTAGTTTTGGGTGAAATCTTTTCCCAGCAGATATGCTCTTTTTCTGTAAGCAGGCAATGTCCTCTCAGTTCAAAACATTGACATTTAAACAGAAAGGAGTTTTAAGATCTAGACTGCATGCCCAATAAATATCATGTCCCTTTGTTTTGATTAGCTCCCTGTTTCATACCTTCTGGTGTTGCTGAGTTTCTGCTGCAAGAGTTTTTCTCTTTTCTTCCTGTTCCACTCGTATTCTGTCCAATTGCATGTGTTCAATATTTGCCTCATATTCCTAAACATAACAGTGACAGCAAACATTTTAAATGTAAGGGCATATTAGGGCATTGGTCTCCAGAGCAATACACTAACCAGACCAGAACTAACTTGCGTTAAAATGGCACTACAGGGGCACTACAGATCTAGGATTTTTCTTAGGAGGAGGTGCACCACTGAGGAATGACGTAGCTGACTGGTCCAAATATGAAGAAGAAGGCTTCATTTCAGGGGGGGGGGGGTGTGCACCCACTGCCCCTCCCCTAGATCTGACCCTGTACTAGTTAATTTGTACAGGCAAATTATCTGGTAAATGCCAGGGGACCTGCAAAGGACTAACAACTCATACTGGGGGAATTGCATTACTCCTAGCCAGTCCATTCTGGGGTAGGTAGAGGATTTTAGAGAAGGGGGTTCAAGGTACTGTAGGGGGTCAATTTTAAAAGTCGAGGTCCTCAGAAATGGAATTTCTAACATTCTGAGGCCAAGTCAGTGTGTTAGAATGTCTCATGGGTTTCGACTGAACCCCCTGAAACCTCCTAGATTTGCCCCAGCCTGTGCTACAGGTGCCCGGTGCTGCCAGTTACGAGTCACCAGGATGTAAAGATTTACCTTGATTTTCTTCTGCTGCTCCAACTGTTTTGTTGTTTCCTGAATTCTAGCCATCTCCAGTGCTTCTTGAGAGTGATCTTAATATAATATATAGTTGGATATCTCAGCATATCATTACTTTCTCTCTAATTTAAAATCAGGAATGATCAATTATTATCCAGAGGAATGGGGGATGGAGGAGGGTGCAGTGTTTGCTTCATTGTTTTATAAGACGGACAGATTGTTTGATTGGGAATAATGGCAACAGAAATACACAAAGAACACAAACAATTTGTGTCGCTGAAAGGCCACAGCATAGTAATACAGCGAAGAAGTAAACCGATTTGCGACATCAGCTGTTTTAGTGTTTATGGTTATAGTGAAAATTATGCCTTACACAGAGATTATCAGAATACATCTCCGTGCTTTACAGTATTTATCACTCACGTGATTTCTCAAGTTCTCTCGCAGCTTTGGCAGCTCGCTCAAGACCCGACGGATCAAAGCTTCTCCAAACTGGGGCAGCTTTGGACCCTTCATTCTCCGGTTTGTCATCCTTCCCTCCACCGTCATCACCGCCTGCCCCAGGCGGAGCGCCAGGGATCAGGGGCGGTCCTTCTCCGGGCGGAGGCGGCTTGTTTACTCCAAATATCCAGGACATCAAAAACGAAGGAGATCTCTACTAAATACGAAAAGTTTTACCAAAAGTTTCCTTCGGATCTGATATAAGTTTCACACGTGCAAGACTCCAAACCGGTAGCCTCGCTCTCACACCAATGGGAATCTCCGCTGGATTTGCAAATCACGGCTCAGTACGAATGACGTCACTGCCGAGTTTATCAAGAGGAAAAAGGAACGAGGGTTAAATTTTTCCTTCATTTGCTGCATTGGTTGGGCGTCTAACCCATCGTAATTCGTCAAAATGTAAGAAGAGACAGTTTCCTTTTTTAATATTATACACCGAACCATGAAATTTGTCGAATGTCCTCGTTATCCTGCGTAATATCTTGTGCCGTTAAGCCTTCCGTCCAAATTTGGCGGGCAGTTTCGATGATCTGCACCCCTCTGCTCGCCTCATCCACATTTGATTACTCAAAATTTCTCTTTCTTTTAATTTCAGGTCGAACAAAAGGTTACAGCAAACGCAAGCCCAAGTAGATGAGGTGATTTCATTATTATGAATTCTCCACTGTTTGGTCTGAATGTTGAAAACGCACCATTCAAAAACTCCGTCCTCACTGTTTATAAGCTTCCTGTGCTTCGGGTTTTCGGGGAATCAAAGCTTATGTCAAAACAAGATTCTTTTTTTGTCTCACTGTTGTTTCGTTTTTGATTTGTCTTTTTTAGGTGGTAGATATCATGAAAGTTAATGTTGATAAGGTGTTGGAAAGAGATGCGAAGCTGTCAGAGCTAGATTCACGGGCAGGTACGAAACTTGTACTTCTCAGTGTTCAACATGAAACAATGCTTGTAGCTTCTTATAAAGGACTCCGTATTTTTTATTTGTTCGTGCAAAAGGTGTTTCTGTGTAGCATGTCACCAGTGATTTTATACCAAATGTAACGAAAGAACACAGAGAAGCATACAATATAAAAATTTGTTGTATGATTAGTTCTGAATTTGTGATTGCATGTCGCTGACTGACTTAATTTAAATAATATAGGGTTACATGTAATTTTAGACTTGATGTCAATATGTATAGCTACCCTCTGACGTATGTTCTCTTAAGTTTGGAATCAAACTGTAGTCCCTCCGAGATTATTGGTGATATTAGTCATTATCGGAGAAAAATACTTAGAACTGTACTGTTCCTACAACTTGTGTTATTGAATGTTTTTTTGCAGCCAGTTTTTAGGCTGTACTGCTTTTTTGTTAGTAATTAGTCGTGCAGTCTGATAGTTTCGATGTTCAGGAAATAACTTCTCGCATGATAAATTTTTACAATCAGTTTAATGTACACCCAATTTAATGCATTTTGAGTACAAAGACATTTTTTGAAATTTTTCAGTCAGATCAAAGTCAATATTAAAAGGGCTATTTAAAAAACTTTTGTAATGAAGAAGTGTGCTCTTGTTTTAAGTAGAGACTTAGCAGTGACCTGACGAGGCATGAAGTACTTTTGTTAATGAGTAGAACGTGCAGCCCTCCAAACCGTCATTTGCCACATACTTGTAACTATTATTATTTTCGTCAGTTATTTTTGGACAGTTTGGTGTCAGAGCACATTTCAATCTATAAAAATAGTTTCCAAGTTGGAAATTTTTGTTGGGCATTTTCTGATGTTGGACCAGGTGTTATTTCCATATAAATGCATGCTGCCGGTCTGTCCTAAAATAGGGATCAACAACTGTCACTTTTTGTTGTGATCAGATCAACTGCAAGCTGGAGCATCACAGTTTGAGCACAGTGCTGCAAGACTGAAACGCAAGATGTGGTGGCAGAATTGCAAGGTATGCTAAATCTTTGTAGCTATTCAAATGATGTGTTGTGAATGTCTTGGCCACAGGTCTCAATGAAAGGGGATACTTCACATCTTGCAAAGCAGTGAATGCAGTTACTCTTAGACTTTTTGGAGCCTTAGTTGGATTAACTTTGAAAATCTCCTAGTTATCATTTAAGTTGCATGTGTTGATTAAAGTACATACCTAGATAAAGAAACATCAACTCAACTTTGTATCAGCTGGCAGGCATCAGTTCTGTCCAAACTAATTCTTCCCCCTGCCCCCTCTAAAGAGCATCTCCACAGAATCATGAAATTGAAAATTCAAAGCCACCCCTCTCCTGAAAACTATTTAGAATGAAAGTATATTAGGTGAGAAAAGGCAGAGTTGCTCTGACCATTTTCTTCCTCAATGTAAAGCTGATCAATCATTGACATTGACAAGGCTAAACATGCCATGAAATGTGAAATAAATACCCCAGCTACATACATAGGCAGGGTATCTAGGATTTTGCTTTGTTTGAAAGTGTTCTTATTGCTGGTGTTTGTACAGTTTAAAACGAGTTAACTTTTTAAGCCAATGATGTTTTCCTCAGATTGAAACTAGAATTCCTTGTGTTTTGGTACAGTACAAGTTTTACCAATTATAGGCAAACTGATCTTTGCTGACATCATTGTTTACATTTTTCTTCATTAACATATGACTATGCACAGAGAAGGCATCATGGTAGACACAAATTGATTGCAAACATTTAAAGAGCTTGTAAAACTTAGTAATTTGTGAAATGTTGGGCCCTTTGGGTGTAATACTTCAGGAGAAATTGGCTTTCATAAACTGGTCAGAAAATTTTTGGGTGGCAAAAGTGCTAATGTACTCATAAATTCTTTGCATTGCACAAAAACGATTCAATACATCAGACACAAATTCCTTGCAACAGTTGATTGTGCTGTTCAGGCACTGATATTTTTTGTAGCTCTATCAGAAACTATTGAAGCTTGCAAATAAACAGATTCTCCTATAGGATGGGAAATTGTAATTTGACTATTTGAGTTTACTCTTGCTTGTTCAGATGCTGAATATCTTTTTCTGTTAATTTGACAGATGTGGATCATTCTCATTGTGGTGATCCTTGTGATAATTGCTGTCATTGTCAGTAAGTGTATTCCAGTGTCTTCCTTGCTGAGATCTTGTGGTTTAATATCATTGCATTTATAAATTCAGACATTCATTTGCTATTTAGATGCAGGGGACTAATGGTTTACCCATGTATTGGACTCCATATCGAGTGGTCTTGGTACAAACTTTGTTAGAGTTGTTGTGCTGTGTTCTCGGACATGATACTTTACTCTTGCAGTGCTTTCCAGGGGTTTCTTAAAGGGCTGGGCAATGGGCAAAATGACGGGCTGTGAGGATGATTTTTTCCTACCTGGTTTGACCCTGTAGAGGACGGTTTTTCTTATGAAGAAGTTCAGTTCAAATCGTTTTGCCAGTATGTGAAAACCTTTTGCCATCCTGTTGAAAATGTTATTGAAACCCCTGGCTTCCTGATTATAAATGGGTAGCGACAAATTGAGAGGGGAATCTAACAAAATACGTGGGATGATCTTGTGCTGGACTAGTGCCCCTAGTAGCTTTATGCTACAAATTCTGAGTGAATTTCAGGTGGTTTTGGGCCACTAGGGTAGTGAAGACCTCTCCCTTTGCCTGGTAAAACCATTTCTTTTTTTGTGGCCATTCAAAGGGTAGATGTTCTGTAAGACATGGTAGAAGTTTGGTTTTGATGGAGAGTTACTGGATTAGGGCATCCAGGGCTTGAACCCCGTCCATTGTCAATTTTTTTGTGTGTGTTTTTGGGCAAGACACATCTGTTTTAGTGGTTCTCCTTCTCCCTCCAGCAGAGATGCTGTTATAACTCGGGGAAAAGCTAGTATGTAAATTGAAAGGGTGCATGGAAAAAGACTCTAAGTGACATCTGATAGACTGTAAGATTCTCCAACAAACTGTTTTTCGCTTCCCTCCACAAAAAAGGGAGAATTTGACATGCGATCAAGAGTCACTTAGGGCTTTTTTTTCATACACCCCTTCAATTGTGACTAGCCTCCCTTCTCAAAGAAAAGCACTACATGTACTTCAATCACAAAATTGCTAGGTTGTGGAATATTTTGTATTCACAAGGTCATTAAGCCTCAACACATTAGCTCTGTTTGATCTGTGTGCTTTTTTTTCTTTCTTTATAGTTTGGGTGGTGACAGACAACCAGAAAAATAGTTCAAGTAGTGGTGAAAAAGCTACTGTGGCTTCTACCACAAAAGGAAAATGACGTTAACATACAAAAGGGCTCTGAGATATTCTTGTAATAAAGGGAACAAGGGCTTTTTACAAGTATAAGCTTATTTTGTAGAAGCTGTACATAAAAAGGAGTCTTCTGTGGTCAATCTCAATGTGTGCACTGGCAAGCACAACTCTAACATAAAGTAATTATACAGCAAACGCAAGCCCAAGTAGATGAGGTGATTTCATTATTATGAATTCTCCACTGTTTGGTCTGAATGTTGAAAACGCACCATTCAAAAACTCCGTCCTCACTGTTTATAAGCTTCCTGTGCTTCGGGTTTTCGGGGAATCAAAGCTTATGTCAAAACAAGATTCTTTTTTTGTCTCACTGTTGTTTCGTTTTTGATTTGTCTTTTTTAGGTGGTAGATATCATGAAAGTTAATGTTGATAAGGTGTTGGAAAGAGATGCGAAGCTGTCAGAGCTAGATTCACGGGCAGGTACGAAACTTGTACTTCTCAGTGTTCAACATGAAACAATGCTTGTAGCTTCTTATAAAGGACTCCGTATTTTTTATTTGTTCGTGCAAAAGGTGTTTCTGTGTAGCATGTCACCAGTGATTTTATACCAAATGTAACGAAAGAACACAGAGAAGCATACAATATAAAAATTTGTTGTATGATTAGTTCTGAATTTGTGATTGCATGTCGCTGACTGACTTAATTTAAATAATATAGGGTTACATGTAATTTTAGACTTGATGTCAATATGTATAGCTACCCTCTGACGTATGTTCTCTTAAGTTTGGAATCAAACTGTAGTCCCTCCGAGATTATTGGTGATATTAGTCATTATCGGAGAAAAATACTTAGAACTGTACTGTTCCTACAACTTGTGTTATTGAATGTTTTTTTGCAGCCAGTTTTTAGGCTGTACTGCTTTTTTGTTAGTAATTAGTCGTGCAGTCTGATAGTTTCGATGTTCAGGAAATAACTTCTCGCATGATAAATTTTTACAATCAGTTTAATGTACACCCAATTTAATGCATTTTGAGTACAAAGACATTTTTTGAAATTTTTCAGTCAGATCAAAGTCAATATTAAAAGGGCTATTTAAAAAACTTTTGTAATGAAGAAGTGTGCTCTTGTTTTAAGTAGAGACTTAGCAGTGACCTGACGAGGCATGAAGTACTTTTGTTAATGAGTAGAACGTGCAGCCCTCCAAACCGTCATTTGCCACATACTTGTAACTATTATTATTTTCGTCAGTTATTTTTGGACAGTTTGGTGTCAGAGCACATTTCAATCTATAAAAATAGTTTCCAAGTTGGAAATTTTTGTTGGGCATTTTCTGATGTTGGACCAGGTGTTATTTCCATATAAATGCATGCTGCCGGTCTGTCCTAAAATAGGGATCAACAACTGTCACTTTTTGTTGTGATCAGATCAACTGCAAGCTGGAGCATCACAGTTTGAGCACAGTGCTGCAAGACTGAAACGCAAGATGTGGTGGCAGAATTGCAAGGTATGCTAAATCTTTGTAGCTATTCAAATGATGTGTTGTGAATGTCTTGGCCACAGGTCTCAATGAAAGGGGATACTTCACATCTTGCAAAGCAGTGAATGCAGTTACTCTTAGACTTTTTGGAGCCTTAGTTGGATTAACTTTGAAAATCTCCTAGTTATCATTTAAGTTGCATGTGTTGATTAAAGTACATACCTAGATAAAGAAACATCAACTCAACTTTGTATCAGCTGGCAGGCATCAGTTCTGTCCAAACTAATTCTTCCCCCTGCCCCCTCTAAAGAGCATCTCCACAGAATCATGAAATTGAAAATTCAAAGCCACCCCTCTCCTGAAAACTATTTAGAATGAAAGTATATTAGGTGAGAAAAGGCAGAGTTGCTCTGACCATTTTCTTCCTCAATGTAAAGCTGATCAATCATTGACATTGACAAGGCTAAACATGCCATGAAATGTGAAATAAATACCCCAGCTACATACATAGGCAGGGTATCTAGGATTTTGCTTTGTTTGAAAGTGTTCTTATTGCTGGTGTTTGTACAGTTTAAAACGAGTTAACTTTTTAAGCCAATGATGTTTTCCTCAGATTGAAACTAGAATTCCTTGTGTTTTGGTACAGTACAAGTTTTACCAATTATAGGCAAACTGATCTTTGCTGACATCATTGTTTACATTTTTCTTCATTAACATATGACTATGCACAGAGAAGGCATCATGGTAGACACAAATTGATTGCAAACATTTAAAGAGCTTGTAAAACTTAGTAATTTGTGAAATGTTGGGCCCTTTGGGTGTAATACTTCAGGAGAAATTGGCTTTCATAAACTGGTCAGAAAATTTTTGGGTGGCAAAAGTGCTAATGTACTCATAAATTCTTTGCATTGCACAAAAACGATTCAATACATCAGACACAAATTCCTTGCAACAGTTGATTGTGCTGTTCAGGCACTGATATTTTTTGTAGCTCTATCAGAAACTATTGAAGCTTGCAAATAAACAGATTCTCCTATAGGATGGGAAATTGTAATTTGACTATTTGAGTTTACTCTTGCTTGTTCAGATGCTGAATATCTTTTTCTGTTAATTTGACAGATGTGGATCATTCTCATTGTGGTGATCCTTGTGATAATTGCTGTCATTGTCAGTAAGTGTATTCCAGTGTCTTCCTTGCTGAGATCTTGTGGTTTAATATCATTGCATTTATAAATTCAGACATTCATTTGCTATTTAGATGCAGGGGACTAATGGTTTACCCATGTATTGGACTCCATATCGAGTGGTCTTGGTACAAACTTTGTTAGAGTTGTTGTGCTGTGTTCTCGGACATGATACTTTACTCTTGCAGTGCTTTCCAGGGGTTTCTTAAAGGGCTGGGCAATGGGCAAAATGACGGGCTGTGAGGATGATTTTTTCCTACCTGGTTTGACCCTGTAGAGGACGGTTTTTCTTATGAAGAAGTTCAGTTCAAATCGTTTTGCCAGTATGTGAAAACCTTTTGCCATCCTGTTGAAAATGTTATTGAAACCCCTGGCTTCCTGATTATAAATGGGTAGCGACAAATTGAGAGGGGAATCTAACAAAATACGTGGGATGATCTTGTGCTGGACTAGTGCCCCTAGTAGCTTTATGCTACAAATTCTGAGTGAATTTCAGGTGGTTTTGGGCCACTAGGGTAGTGAAGACCTCTCCCTTTGCCTGGTAAAACCATTTCTTTTTTTGTGGCCATTCAAAGGGTAGATGTTCTGTAAGACATGGTAGAAGTTTGGTTTTGATGGAGAGTTACTGGATTAGGGCATCCAGGGCTTGAACCCCGTCCATTGTCAATTTTTTTGTGTGTGTTTTTGGGCAAGACACATCTGTTTTAGTGGTTCTCCTTCTCCCTCCAGCAGAGATGCTGTTATAACTCGGGGAAAAGCTAGTATGTAAATTGAAAGGGTGCATGGAAAAAGACTCTAAGTGACATCTGATAGACTGTAAGATTCTCCAACAAACTGTTTTTCGCTTCCCTCCACAAAAAAGGGAGAATTTGACATGCGATCAAGAGTCACTTAGGGCTTTTTTTTCATACACCCCTTCAATTGTGACTAGCCTCCCTTCTCAAAGAAAAGCACTACATGTACTTCAATCACAAAATTGCTAGGTTGTGGAATATTTTGTATTCACAAGGTCATTAAGCCTCAACACATTAGCTCTGTTTGATCTGTGTGCTTTTTTTTCTTTCTTTATAGTTTGGGTGGTGACAGACAACCAGAAAAATAGTTCAAGTAGTGGTGAAAAAGCTACTGTGGCTTCTACCACAAAAGGAAAATGACGTTAACATACAAAAGGGCTCTGAGATATTCTTGTAATAAAGGGAACAAGGGCTTTTTACAAGTATAAGCTTATTTTGTAGAAGCTGTACATAAAAAGGAGTCTTCTGTGGTCAATCTCAATGTGTGCACTGGCAAGCACAACTCTAACATAAAGTAATTATAAATTAGTTAGTTTTATTTTGATTAAATAGGTCCCACAGAACCAAACTCTGTAACATAATATTGTAATGCAAATCAACTGTGTTGATTGTCCTTGAGTGCAGAGGCCTTTTTTTTTCATTAGAGCAATGGAAGCTAAGAATATCATGACTGTAAACTGAAACAGCTCGAAAGCCGGTTAACGCTAATCCAGGATTAAAAGTTAACCCAAGTATTAATTTTGCTTATAGAAAATGTTTTTCACTGTGTAGTTTGTGGTTTTTCAAACTCAAAACAGAAGGACAAAGAATATAAACTGACATACCTACTTACCGAAAAGTTACAAAACACAGCAAACGCAAGCCCAAGTAGATGAGGTGATTTCATTATTATGAATTCTCCACTGTTTGGTCTGAATGTTGAAAACGCACCATTCAAAAACTCCGTCCTCACTGTTTATAAGCTTCCTGTGCTTCGGGTTTTCGGGGAATCAAAGCTTATGTCAAAACAAGATTCTTTTTTTGTCTCACTGTTGTTTCGTTTTTGATTTGTCTTTTTTAGGTGGTAGATATCATGAAAGTTAATGTTGATAAGGTGTTGGAAAGAGATGCGAAGCTGTCAGAGCTAGATTCACGGGCAGGTACGAAACTTGTACTTCTCAGTGTTCAACATGAAACAATGCTTGTAGCTTCTTATAAAGGACTCCGTATTTTTTATTTGTTCGTGCAAAAGGTGTTTCTGTGTAGCATGTCACCAGTGATTTTATACCAAATGTAACGAAAGAACACAGAGAAGCATACAATATAAAAATTTGTTGTATGATTAGTTCTGAATTTGTGATTGCATGTCGCTGACTGACTTAATTTAAATAATATAGGGTTACATGTAATTTTAGACTTGATGTCAATATGTATAGCTACCCTCTGACGTATGTTCTCTTAAGTTTGGAATCAAACTGTAGTCCCTCCGAGATTATTGGTGATATTAGTCATTATCGGAGAAAAATACTTAGAACTGTACTGTTCCTACAACTTGTGTTATTGAATGTTTTTTTGCAGCCAGTTTTTAGGCTGTACTGCTTTTTTGTTAGTAATTAGTCGTGCAGTCTGATAGTTTCGATGTTCAGGAAATAACTTCTCGCATGATAAATTTTTACAATCAGTTTAATGTACACCCAATTTAATGCATTTTGAGTACAAAGACATTTTTTGAAATTTTTCAGTCAGATCAAAGTCAATATTAAAAGGGCTATTTAAAAAACTTTTGTAATGAAGAAGTGTGCTCTTGTTTTAAGTAGAGACTTAGCAGTGACCTGACGAGGCATGAAGTACTTTTGTTAATGAGTAGAACGTGCAGCCCTCCAAACCGTCATTTGCCACATACTTGTAACTATTATTATTTTCGTCAGTTATTTTTGGACAGTTTGGTGTCAGAGCACATTTCAATCTATAAAAATAGTTTCCAAGTTGGAAATTTTTGTTGGGCATTTTCTGATGTTGGACCAGGTGTTATTTCCATATAAATGCATGCTGCCGGTCTGTCCTAAAATAGGGATCAACAACTGTCACTTTTTGTTGTGATCAGATCAACTGCAAGCTGGAGCATCACAGTTTGAGCACAGTGCTGCAAGACTGAAACGCAAGATGTGGTGGCAGAATTGCAAGGTATGCTAAATCTTTGTAGCTATTCAAATGATGTGTTGTGAATGTCTTGGCCACAGGTCTCAATGAAAGGGGATACTTCACATCTTGCAAAGCAGTGAATGCAGTTACTCTTAGACTTTTTGGAGCCTTAGTTGGATTAACTTTGAAAATCTCCTAGTTATCATTTAAGTTGCATGTGTTGATTAAAGTACATACCTAGATAAAGAAACATCAACTCAACTTTGTATCAGCTGGCAGGCATCAGTTCTGTCCAAACTAATTCTTCCCCCTGCCCCCTCTAAAGAGCATCTCCACAGAATCATGAAATTGAAAATTCAAAGCCACCCCTCTCCTGAAAACTATTTAGAATGAAAGTATATTAGGTGAGAAAAGGCAGAGTTGCTCTGACCATTTTCTTCCTCAATGTAAAGCTGATCAATCATTGACATTGACAAGGCTAAACATGCCATGAAATGTGAAATAAATACCCCAGCTACATACATAGGCAGGGTATCTAGGATTTTGCTTTGTTTGAAAGTGTTCTTATTGCTGGTGTTTGTACAGTTTAAAACGAGTTAACTTTTTAAGCCAATGATGTTTTCCTCAGATTGAAACTAGAATTCCTTGTGTTTTGGTACAGTACAAGTTTTACCAATTATAGGCAAACTGATCTTTGCTGACATCATTGTTTACATTTTTCTTCATTAACATATGACTATGCACAGAGAAGGCATCATGGTAGACACAAATTGATTGCAAACATTTAAAGAGCTTGTAAAACTTAGTAATTTGTGAAATGTTGGGCCCTTTGGGTGTAATACTTCAGGAGAAATTGGCTTTCATAAACTGGTCAGAAAATTTTTGGGTGGCAAAAGTGCTAATGTACTCATAAATTCTTTGCATTGCACAAAAACGATTCAATACATCAGACACAAATTCCTTGCAACAGTTGATTGTGCTGTTCAGGCACTGATATTTTTTGTAGCTCTATCAGAAACTATTGAAGCTTGCAAATAAACAGATTCTCCTATAGGATGGGAAATTGTAATTTGACTATTTGAGTTTACTCTTGCTTGTTCAGATGCTGAATATCTTTTTCTGTTAATTTGACAGATGTGGATCATTCTCATTGTGGTGATCCTTGTGATAATTGCTGTCATTGTCAGTAAGTGTATTCCAGTGTCTTCCTTGCTGAGATCTTGTGGTTTAATATCATTGCATTTATAAATTCAGACATTCATTTGCTATTTAGATGCAGGGGACTAATGGTTTACCCATGTATTGGACTCCATATCGAGTGGTCTTGGTACAAACTTTGTTAGAGTTGTTGTGCTGTGTTCTCGGACATGATACTTTACTCTTGCAGTGCTTTCCAGGGGTTTCTTAAAGGGCTGGGCAATGGGCAAAATGACGGGCTGTGAGGATGATTTTTTCCTACCTGGTTTGACCCTGTAGAGGACGGTTTTTCTTATGAAGAAGTTCAGTTCAAATCGTTTTGCCAGTATGTGAAAACCTTTTGCCATCCTGTTGAAAATGTTATTGAAACCCCTGGCTTCCTGATTATAAATGGGTAGCGACAAATTGAGAGGGGAATCTAACAAAATACGTGGGATGATCTTGTGCTGGACTAGTGCCCCTAGTAGCTTTATGCTACAAATTCTGAGTGAATTTCAGGTGGTTTTGGGCCACTAGGGTAGTGAAGACCTCTCCCTTTGCCTGGTAAAACCATTTCTTTTTTTGTGGCCATTCAAAGGGTAGATGTTCTGTAAGACATGGTAGAAGTTTGGTTTTGATGGAGAGTTACTGGATTAGGGCATCCAGGGCTTGAACCCCGTCCATTGTCAATTTTTTTGTGTGTGTTTTTGGGCAAGACACATCTGTTTTAGTGGTTCTCCTTCTCCCTCCAGCAGAGATGCTGTTATAACTCGGGGAAAAGCTAGTATGTAAATTGAAAGGGTGCATGGAAAAAGACTCTAAGTGACATCTGATAGACTGTAAGATTCTCCAACAAACTGTTTTTCGCTTCCCTCCACAAAAAAGGGAGAATTTGACATGCGATCAAGAGTCACTTAGGGCTTTTTTTTCATACACCCCTTCAATTGTGACTAGCCTCCCTTCTCAAAGAAAAGCACTACATGTACTTCAATCACAAAATTGCTAGGTTGTGGAATATTTTGTATTCACAAGGTCATTAAGCCTCAACACATTAGCTCTGTTTGATCTGTGTGCTTTTTTTTCTTTCTTTATAGTTTGGGTGGTGACAGACAACCAGAAAAATAGTTCAAGTAGTGGTGAAAAAGCTACTGTGGCTTCTACCACAAAAGGAAAATGACGTTAACATACAAAAGGGCTCTGAGATATTCTTGTAATAAAGGGAACAAGGGCTTTTTACAAGTATAAGCTTATTTTGTAGAAGCTGTACATAAAAAGGAGTCTTCTGTGGTCAATCTCAATGTGTGCACTGGCAAGCACAACTCTAACATAAAGTAATTATTAATTAGTTAGTTTTATTTTGATTAAATAGGTCCCACAGAACCAAACTCTGTAACATAAAAATTATATTGTAATGCAAATCAACTGTGTTGATTGTTCTTGAGTGCTTTTTTTTTCTCATTAGAGCAATGGAAGCTAAGAATATCATATGACTGTAAACTGAAACAGCTCGAAAGTCGGTTAACGCTAATCCAGGATTAAAAGTTAACCCAAGTATTAATTTTGCTTATAGAAAAATTAATGTTTTTCATTGTGTAGTTTGTGATTTTTCAAACTCAAAACAGAAGGACAGAGAATATAAACTGACATACCTACTTACCGAAAAGTTACAAAACAAACCAAAATTCTCACTAATCCTGGGTTAGCTTAATCGGGCTTTGAACAACCCAACCCTGGAATCTATGTAATCCAAGTTACCCAGTGTAGCTGGTAATTATGTGGGGGGACTGAGTGGGAAGGTGCTAGTTGCAGCACTTAAGGGTTTTTTCAGAGTTTTGTTTGTTCATTACATAAGGTGTTGACACAATTCGAATTACCCAATAATACACAGTACATTAAGATTCTATGGTTGATCAAAATGGTTTGTTGGTACTATATGTGGGACCCAAATTTCTCGAGGAGCAAAATGAACGCATTTCACATCACTATATTTGCTAGGATACCAGTTCCTTCAGGCAGTATTACATGCATATCTCATAAGAGCTTTTTCCTCAGTTGTAAAATTATGAAAGGCTTTCATATAGACCGACAGGAAAATGTTTCAAGTTTTTGTAAGTTTTTGCACGGCAGCTGCCTTGTTTTCTTTTTTTAGTTTCAAAAAACATGGACCTAAAAAATTTCCAAAACATTTTCAGTATACAGTGTGGTATAAACTGCTGCTGTGAAGTGCAAATTCTAAGTGCTGTTTTGCAAAGTAAGTATTATATTCAATTTATTATTTACTGAGTTACATTTGATTTACACTGCTATTTTCATTATGTTAAAAAGAACATTAAACATAAATGATTGTAGTTAAATTGTGTATTTTTTTGTTCCTGAAGTGTATGGATGATGGCACTGACTACCATTCATTGCATCTGAGTACATGTAAAGCTACACTGCAAAAATAATTAAAAAAAACAACATTGTTTTATAAACTAGACATGAAATGAAGCCTTGATTTCTCCCCCAGAAACTGCAACCACAGATTTCCGCTGACTTTGTTTCTCAATTATCTGAATCATAAATAACTTTCCCTGAAGAATTGTGTCGCAAAGGAAAACCAAATTCCAATTTAACAGTACTAAGTTTTCGTGGCTTTGGGGGCTGCCTTGTTAGTTACTCCAAGGTTGACATGTCAAATTCAAGTAAAGGGATCCACAGTGTAATTGCTGTGTTCTCATACTGGGCATAGCCTGCGAACGCAGACGTATTTCCGGCTGTCGCTTGTCTCCGCCAAAAATAACGCCTGGGAACCTGAGCCAGGAAACGATTTCTGTGACGTAATGACTTTTGTTTCTCCTCGGCCAATCAGATTTCATGATAGAATGAAACTCGAGTTTTCCTCCTCGTGCAGTAGTTCTGGGGCTACTTGAGCTAAACTGTGATTGGCTACGTCACAGAAATCGTTTCCTGGCTCGGGTTCGCAGACGTTATTTTTGGCGGAGACAAGCGACAGCCGGAAATACGTCTGCATTCGCAGGCTAACTGGGCATGGCGATCTTGTTAGATCGTGTAAAACCCATCGACCTATAATTTTTGCGGATTTTGCGGATGGTACTCATCCGCAAAAATAAGTTCCAGCAGAAAAAAAAAACACCAGCAAAATTAATGTAAAAACCGAAAAAATTTAGTCCCGTTAATATAATCAAAAATGTAATCTTGCATTTCATCAGCCGCTTCAAAATCGGCTTTTACAGCTTGACTGGAAATGTTTTGTAACCGGAAACACTTTGTTTGTACAACCGGCTTGTCGTTGACTGAAATGTCTGAGAAGTATAGACTGTTGTTTTACGTAAAAAAAGTTATAAAAGTTAAAATGTTACATTTCCTTGTTGATGTTGTTCCTTTGTTGATTCCCAGCGGAAATTTCAGTCAATTCGAGCCGCAAAAATTTGTTCCCAAAAGCCTCAAAAAAATCGCCAATCCGCAAAAATAAAAGTTCGCCGCAAAGATTTCATGCTACACGGTATGTGCTTCCAGTTTTTGTTAAGTCCACCCATTCTTGACTTATTTGGAAAGAAACTGTCAATAAAAGCTGTTACTCTTGTGAAAATGATTATTACACTTTCATTTCAGGCAGCGTGACCGAGTGGTTAGGGCGCCGGACTTGCTGGAGGTCACGGGTCACCAGTCCCGCTCTGACCACTAGGATGGAGTTGTTTCTCGGTAGACCCTTGTTCAACTCTTCGGTCATGCTTGTAAATAGCCAACTGGTCTGCCTCCTGCCAGTTGGTATTTTTAAGCCTATCATGTTTATTTGCAGTATTTCTTTCATCCAGTTTAAGTGGCATGGCTGAAAACTAGCTAGTTGTAGCTAATTGCATCGACACTATAAACATTCAACATTTAACATTTATGGCTCCTGGCTGCGATAATGAAAGAAACAAATCCATATGCAATGCACCCCCGTCCTTTCTTTACGGGAGTCCTCATCTCCCCGGGGATGTATGTCCATCTTATGCCCCCTGATTCATGTCTCCCACCGTCTCCCCCTTTTTGTCCGCACCCTTTTAAGCATCTCAAGTGCTACCACTAATGAAAAAAAATTCTTTGTAAGGTAAAGTATTCAGCGCTTTTTTTCACGTGCCATTATATTTCGAAGGTAAAGATATTCCCACCGTTGTGGTTAAAAATATAGTGGAAATAACGTGGGCACGAGGACGGGCACAAGGATCAGGCACCTGTCTATATAAATACACTTCAAGAACGGTACATACAGTAGTAGACGAATTGATGTATTACCGAGACAAGTATTTTCGCAGGCTCAAGTAGCGCATTGCTGCATGAAAAACAGGAACAGAGTGATGGCGGCAGGTGTGTTGAGTGCTGTGGAGTAAAGAAGTGATTTCCTCCATGACTCCTGGTTATCGTCCAATAATCTTGGCCTTATTAATTTCGATGAACCATCAACTAGCATGAACACAAATTGGTTGCGGGATTACAGTCTGCGTTGGGATGCCATCTTTGCACTGTCGTGCGGGGTTATAAATTCAGCGGTGAAGTTTCCCTGGAAATCTTGGAATGACAGCCGAGCACGACTGTAGACAACAGTCTAACGCGTCTGAAATCGCTCTTCCCGCCAAATTAGCGAAAATCAAGAAAGCTGATGACTTTGCGACTGTAAAGTACAAATGGAACAGTAATGAGGTAGCGTAGAAATAATGCTATTGCTGAGTTTATGATAAGTTAAGCTTATCGCTAGTTTGTAATCATGCCAAAATGTCTTCTCTGGTTTCCAGTTAGTGTCAACAGGAGATTTAAAGTTTTTGGCATATGAATTTCCACGATGCTAAGCTTCTTGGTGCTTTCGTTTTTGGACTTGTCCGGTAATTGCTGACGATCTAAAATCTTCGATAAAATTATCTATAAAGTAAATTAAATAATTTTATATCGGCTCCTTGGCCGTCGTACGTGACACGATGACAGGTAACTCAAGTTTTTACATCGTGTATTTGTTTTTCTGGCAGTTTTCTTGGAGGTAATATTTTTAACTGATAAGGGTAACGTTTGAGCAAACAGTTGGATCAAATAAAGCCGAGACATTGGGGTTCACAGAAATAGCCCATCGCGAAATCTAATTTTAAGCTTAAGCTTGTATTATAGCTTGACCTCAGAAACGATCTTCGCGCTCGTAACTCGAAAAACTTGAGAAAAATTCATGTTAAGATAAAAACAGTAGTGGTATTTAAAGAACAACAGTTAGTTTGATCTGCCAACTTAGAAAAACAATTTGTTTGACCATCGAATGTTTTTGTTCCCAGTATTGGTTTAGTTTGCGTTTGAAAGAATAGATTTTACAAGTCTTCTGCGAACTTCTTGTTTACATTCGATCTCTTGTCAACTTAAATGGAGGAAACTGCGCCACTTGTCTCTAGTAGACGTTTTTAAAGTTCGACATGCAAATTTAACGCTGGCTATTCAGAATTTTCTGTATAGATGAATATTTTATTGGAAATCTTTCACTCCTTTGCTTGCCCCAAAAACCGCCCACTTGGTCAATTATGCCTAAACTGAAATTGCTAGAATTTGTTTTGTTATTTTTCGGGCAATTCTTTATTGTGAGTAAAGGGATTAACATTGTTTTTAGGATTGCAGCTGTCGTGTTTATGGAACCTCTGAGATACTGTTTAATGCCTTGAGAGCAGATAACAACCCTACGACTTGCCAATCGAACTTATTTTTATTTTTCCTTGCAAGCAGCCCTGGAATTTATTATTTATGAAAGTAATAAATGTCTTGACAATTTGTGTCCTTTATTGGTATTTTACACATAATTTCATTTGTCAAGTTGTGCCTATACATGTAGAATGGTTTCTGGTTTTCAACCTCTATAATTTATGCCCTCCTGTGAAAACCAAAAAACATTAGCAAATTATGTGTTTGCCGGCATCTTTTATGCAAAGTGTTTGTCTTAATTGTTCCTTTGTTATTGCAAAGCTTTGGAGGTGTTTTGAGCTGAACATTTGTTTCAATGCAGTATTTTTGTGTCTTTTTTGAATGCGATGTTTCGAGCATGTGTGGCTTCTTTGCAAATTTTTTTCAATTTATACTCTTAATGAGGAACGGCCTGATTATTTGCATACCACCTTACAATTTTGGGTTATATTGAGATATTTGAATGATAATGTTTGTCCCAATGCTATTGTTTTACTTCATGCCAATATCTCTTAATATTTCATTTCCTGCATTGAGTAGAAGAAATCTCAGTTGAAAGCAATTATTACTGTAGAACATCACATTGACCAAAAAATGCTAGTACTCACCTTATCATTTGTGTTTTAGTTTAACATTAACTTATTCATTTTCAAATATACAAAGTAAGGTTATTCATTGAAATGTTTAAAAGCTGTTTCCCTTTTGTTTCAAACTTGTTTCTTATCACTATGACTGATTCAGAAGACCATAATTGTCTTCTGAATCAGTCATAGTAAAAAAAAATAACAATTATTGTGTTTACTGTACAACTTGCATCAGGTAATGGGTTATAGTTCTGTTGTATGGTTGGTCCAATTCAGTTTCCCATTTTATGAAGTAAATCATTAAAATTTGTTGCAAATATGTTGTACTAGTCAGTAGTAGAGAGAGCATTTTAAGTAGAATCGCATAGCTCAGAGAATTCTCACACCCTGATTTGTTACTTACGTGAGGTATTCAGCGTGGAATTGCAACTGCCTCTTGAAAGCGAGGCATGTTGAGTATTGCTACATTCACACAGACGTAAATGAAGGGGGCTTTACGATTTAAAGAAAATTCATAACCTGACTCGTGAATTCCACATTAAATTTCACTTGAAAAACCAATATTGCCTCCTTGCTTTGCGATTTGTGCGATATCGGTTTTTCGCATGAAATTGAATGTGGAATTCCCTCATCAGGTAATAAATTTTCCTATAGAATATTCCTATAGAATATAGAATATTGAGCATCACTTTCAGTAGAAATTTCCACAGATCAGTTTTGGAAATGACTTAATCATAATGAAATGTAACAAGTCTCGCAGTTTCCCTACATGTATGTTGTGAACTGGTTCAAATAAATTCACTTTTGCAAGTGAATGTATGAAAGATCATATATTTGAACTGCAGAGAACGATATTGAGACATGATTGATCATCACAGTTATACACAACTTAAGCAAAATTCAGGCCCTAACGGGATTTGAACCCATTACCTCTGTGATACTGAGCACTGCACTGGTATCATAGAGGTTATGGGTTTGAATCATCATCATCATTCATCATTTTATTTCTTAATAAAATCTACATTTTACAGTTGGACTATCCCGTTCAGGCCTGAATATTTTTCAGGCTTTAATTTCANNNNCCCTACCCTACCCTACCCTACCCTACCCTACCCTACCCTACCTCAACCCAAACCCACCCACTCTACTCTACTCTACTCCTCCTTACCCCTCCTGTACTATGTTATAGTAGATTGAAGTAAGTGGATCGTGCACTACTGCATGGAATAAGTGACGCATATGTCATGGTAACAGTCCACTGAACTGTACATTTTCAAGCCATTTACTCACAGTAGTTGATGTGCTTAGAATCCTCAGCTAGTATTGGTTCATTACTTGAATTTGGTGGAAGAATGCAACAAGCCCATTACAGTATCAGTGTACACATCACCTGACAGTCGTGACGATATTTCACATCAACTGGAAGCCATCTGTAAGAATATGCTTTACTTTTATCAAATATGCTTTTGTTAAAAGACCTAAGGTGCTTACTGATGGTCGTAGAATAAGATTCTGGATTTGATTGCTGGCAGGAGCCATGTGCTGTGTTCTTTGACAAGAAAAGTCAAGTGATATTATTTCAACAGTATTCGCTGCTCTACTCAACTGATATTCTTATAAGAAAATTCATTTGCTGTTTCCTAGATTCTGGTGTTTCACAAGATGTCAAGCCTGAAGTTACGGTAAGTAAAAGANGAACGATTGCATCACAGTGGATGAACCCTGCCAGAGCACGTGCCAGCCAGCGGTCACTTCACGTGATAACCACGTGTTCGTCACCAGTCCGCAAAGCTTCTCACAACATCAGCCTCCAAGAGACATTTCTATACTCTCTGTTGTCCCCATTGTAACGCATCCGTCAATGTCCGCTCTATCGTATCAGGTACAGAATTCGCACGGAAACAAAGAGTGCAGCGCTACAAATGTCACTCCGACATCTAATTCTCATTTTCTTCCAGAAAATCATCTGTCGAATGCGATTTCGGTCAATCAGCTCTCTAGAGAGACTAACCAGAACACTGGAATCCAGTGGAATTCGGTTTTTGTGAATCCCCGCGTGGCGGAGCTGGGTAGCAGCCCGTCAAGCGACTATGGAAGTTACATGTCTGATGCAGGCACTCGACTTAGCTTCTCAGGCTCAGATTCCATGAGTGGGGGATTTCCCGCACAAAATATCTCCGACTCGGACCGTGGAGTGTTTGACGGCCCGTTTCGCGTCCCGCTTCCCGTGAACCGGGACTCGCAGCAAAATTTTGGCGATTCAGTAAAATGCGATGAAGGGTTGGCTCAGCGCAGACAAGGAGCGTGGCCGCTGACCGACTGTAGTACGGGAACTTCACAATCTAGCAACAGTGATGTAGCGGTTGATATGACTGACTTAGCTCATCTGGACTCGCTCGAGTTTGATGACATGTTCGACTGTGATCTAAGTCATGTCATTCCAGAATGCTTCACTGATTGCTTGACCTCACCGCCTAAACCAAGTGACAGAGACGTGACAACAACGAGTGCTAACCTTGAATCGAACTATACAACTACGTGCACAACTCCGCCATCCTCTATTCCGCTCAACCCTTTCACTTCCGCCAGCCAAGCGCAGCTTTCTCAGGCAACAACTTCCGGTAGGTCGTCAACTACGTCTTACGTGTTTGTAAAGCCTGTCAGCCCAGTGAGAAGCGCAGTGGTGACGTCCTGTTTTGTCAACGTCACTAAGAACACGCTTGCGTCACCATGCGAGACATCCGTCAGCGAGTCTAGTACCCAGACTTCAGACGGTGGCGGGCGAGACGTGACAGATTTGTCCGTTACTCGGACAATTGCACAGTCAACCTCAAACCAAGTTTGCCTTGATCCTTCGACGGCGCAAAATTTCCACCAGCAAGCGCCAGCACCCTTGCCAAGCGACTTAAACAACAATTCTTCTCGCGCACTCACTGCAGGAAAAACCGCTGACGCTTGTTCGCTACATCCAGGAAACCACGTGGTTCCAGTGTCGGCGCGCATCACCGACTACTCGCCTGAATGGTCTTATCCCGAGGGTGGAGCGAAAGTACTCATTACTGGCGAGTGGAAGATGGAGCAAGGCTCGTACACGTGTTTGTTCGATGGCTGTAGCGTGCCCGCGATCTTGTATCAATCAGGTGTTTTGCGATGTTTTTGTCCTCCACACGACCCAGGCCTGGTTACACTGCAAGTCGCCTGCAATGGGTTTATTGTCAGCAACGCATGCGTGTTCGAGTATCGTGCACGTGATTCGCCCGTGGCGGGCGCTAGCTGTCATGAGTGGCTTGCCACTGATAATGACCGGTTTAAACTGGCTATTCTTGATCGCCTGGAGAGATTAGAATCCAGGCTTAACTCGGACCAAACGAACCATTCCGTGAACAACACGCACGGCAAACAATGTATGACTTTTGAAGACCGGCTCATCGCGGCTTGTGAAATCTTCCAACGAGCTACGAGCTCGGTCAGAAACGCCTCAAAGGGCGATAAACCATTTCGAGGAATGACGCTGCTTCACCTGTCCTCGGCACTGGGTTTCAAGCGATTGGTCTGTGCGCTGTTGAAGTTATGGCGGAACAGTGACAGCTCACTTGTCAGAGAGGAAATGAACCCGCTCAGGAAGGACGAATTTTCCTGTACGCCGCTGACCTGGGCATGCGCACTGGGTCAGACAGACACTGCTCTGGTGCTGCTGGAGACTGAACCCAAGGCCTTGTTGGAGCCTGATGCTCGCGGGCGCATGCCCCTGCAGTTGGCAAGAGATAGGGGCTTTCTAGACGTGGTCGATGTTATTGAAGACTTCGTCATGTCTTCTCCATACAGGTGGGTTTCATTTTTCATGGCTTTTTAAACTTTCTAAGGATCTTTGAGAGCCAACAATCACTCTTCGATTTACCAGCACGTGGCTCCTTTGCCTTGAATGCTTCCCAGCTTGACTTGAA